CGATGTCGGCGTGCACCGCTGCCGAACTGGATGAGTTGGGCCTTCGAAGTTCGCCTTTGTAGGTTGATGTGGCTGCAGACGGCGCTGATGTCAAAGACTTTGATTGGTCCCGATGTGTCGCACGGCGAAGGACGAAATCGCTCCCGCTCGATGACAAAGGCCCGTCCGATCCGTTGCGTGCGTGGGAAACTTGAGGTTTTATCTGCACACGGGACGATAAAGTTAGAAACGATGTCGGCGTGCACCGCTGCCGAACTGGATGAGTTAGGCCTTCGAAGTTCGCCTTTGTAGGTTGATGTGGCTGCAGACGGCGCTGATGTCAAAGACTTTGATTGGTCCTGATGTGTCGCACGGCGAAGGACGAAATCGCTCCCGCTCGATGACAAAGGCCCGTCCGATCCGTTGCGTGCGTGGGAAACTTGAGGTTTTATCTGCACACAGGACGATAAAGTTAGAAACGATGTCGGCGTGCACCGCTGCCGAACTGGATGAGTTGGGCCTTCGAAGTTCGCCTTTGTAGGTTGATGTGGCTGCAGACGGCGCTGATGTCAAAGACTTTGATTGGTCCAGATGTGTCGCACGGCGAAGGACGAAATCGCTCCCGCTCGATGACAAAGGTCCGTCCGATCCGTTGCGTGCGTGGGAAACTTGAGGTTTTATCTGCACACAGGACGATAAAGTTAGAAACGATGTCGGCGTGCACCGCTGCCGAACTGGATGAGTTGGGCCTTCGAAGTTCGCCTTTGTAGGTTGATGTGGCTGCAGACGGCGCTGATGTCAAAGACTTTGATTGGTCCTGATGTGTCGCACGGCGAAGGACGAAATCGCTCCCGCTCGATGACAAAGGCCCGTCCGATTTGTTGCGTGCGTGGGAAACTTGAGGTTTTATCTGCACACAGGACGATAGAGTTAGAAACGATGTCGGCGTGCACCGCTGCCGAACTGGATGAGTTGGGCCTTCGAAGTTCGCCTTTGTAGGTTGATGTGGCTGCAGACGGCGCTGATGTCAAAGACTTTGATTGGTCCTGATGTGTCGCACGGCGAAGGACGAAATCGCTCCCGCTCGATGACAAAGGCCCGTCCGATCCGTTGCGTGCGTGGGAAACTTGAGGTTTTATCTGCACACAGGACGATAAAGTTAGAAACGATGTCGGCGTGCACCGCTGCCGAACTGGATGAGTTGGGCCTTCGAAGTTCGCCTTTGTAGGTTGGTGTGGCTGCAGACGGCGCTGATGTCAAAGACTTTGATTGGTCCTGATGTGTCGCACGGCGAAGGACGAAATCGCTCCCGCTCGATGACAAAGGCCCGTCCGATCCGTTGCGTGCGTGGGAAACTTGAGGTTTTATCTGCACACAGGACGATAAAGTTAGAAACGATGTCGGCGTGCACCGCTGCCGAACTGGATGAGTTGGGCCTTCGAAGTTCGCCTTTGTAGGTTGATGTGGCTGCAGACGGCGCTGATGTCAAAGACTTTGATTGGTCCTGATGTGTCGCACGGCGAAGGACGAAATCGCTCCCGCTCGATGACAAAGGCCCGTCCGATCCGTTGCGTGCGTGGGAAACTTGAGGTTTTATCTGCACACAGGACGATAAAGTTAGAAACGATGTCGGCGTGCACCGCTGCCGAACTGGATGAGTTGGGCCTTCGAAGTTCGCCTTTGTAGGTTGATGTGGCTGCAGACGGCGCTGATGTCGAAGACTTTGATTGGTCCTGATGCGACGCACGGCGAAGGACGAAATCGCTCCCGCTCGATGACAAAGGCCCGTCCGATCCGTTGCGTGCGTGGGAAACTTGAGGTTTTATCTGCACACAGGACGATAAAGTTAGAAACGATGTCGGCGTGCACCGCTGCCGCACTGGATGAATTGGGCCTTCGAAGTTCGCCTTTGTAGGTTGATGTGGCTGCAGACGGCGCTGATGTCAAAGACTTGGATTGGTCCTGATGCGACGCACGGCGAAGGACGAAATCGCTCCCGCTCGATGACAAAGGCCCGTCCGATCCGTTGCGTGCGTGGGAAACTTGAGGTTTTATCTGCACACAGGACGATAAAGTTAGAAACGATGTCGGCGTGCACCGCTGCCGAACTGGATGAGTTGGGCCTTCGAAGTTCGCCTTTGTAGGTTGATGTGGCTGCAGACGGCGCTGATGTCAAAGACTTTGATTGGTCCTGATGCGACGCACGGCGAAGGACGAAATCGCTCCCGCTCGATGACAAAGGCCCGTCCGATCCGTTGCGTGCGTGGGAAACTTGAGGTTTTATCTGCACACAGGACGATAAAGTTAGAAACGATGTCGGCGTGCACCGCTGCCGAACTGGATGAGTTGGGCCTTCGAAGTTCGCCTTTGTAGGTTGATGTGGCTGCAGACGGCGCTGATGTCAAAGACTTTGATTGGTCCTGATGTGTCGCACGGCGAAGGACGAAATCGCTCCCGCTCGATGACAAAGGCCCGTCCGATCCGTTGCGTGCGTGGGAAACTTGAGGTTTTATCTGCACACAGGACGATAAAGTTAGAAACGATGTCGGCGTGCACCGCTGCCGAACTGGATGAGTTGGGCCTTCGAAGTTCGCCTTTGTAGGTTGATGTGGCTGCAGACGGCGCTGATGTCAAAGACTTTGATTGGTCCTGATGCGACGCACGGCGAAGGACGAAATCGCTCCCGCTCGATGACAAAGGCCCGTCCGATCCGTTGCGTGCGTGGGAAACTTGAGGTTTTATCTGCACACAGGACGATAAAGTTAGAAACGATGTCGGCGTGCACCGCTGCCGAACTGGATGAGTTGGGCCTTCGAAGTTCGCCTTTGTAGGTTGATGTGGCTGCAGACGGCGCTGATGTCAAAGACTTTGATTGGTCCTGATGCGACGCACGGCGAAGGACGAAATCGCTCCCGCTCGATGACAAAGGCCCGTCCGATCCGTTGCGTGCGTGGGAAACTTGAGGTTTTTCTGTGATAAGACGCTTCTCGTCAGCTCGGGCTCGGCACGTGGGTTGAGTCAGCAGTTACAACCCCGCGTCGGCGCTATCAGCTGTGGCGATATAAGCCGCTGTTTCGAGTGAATAAACTTCTTCTTGTTGTTCGCTGTTGAACTTCGCGTACGCTCGTCTCTGCTGCTCGCTCGAACATAGCGAACATGGTGTCAGAAGTGGCGCCCAGGCTGAGCCACCACGGATACCGGACATAGAAAACCCTGAACCAAGGTCATCGCATTTCCAATCGACAGAGCCAGCCGTCCTGCGAGGCTGCAGGAAGGACTACAAGTACGCCACCAAAATCTACCTCAAGTAAGATGGCTTCATTCCAAATTACGCCGCCCGAACCATTCAGCTTTGCAACGCCTAACGACTGGCCCTCGTGGAAAAAACGATTTCTTCGGTTCCGCACGGCATCTGGACTGGATGCGAAGCCCGAAGCAGGTCAAGTCGACGCTTTGGTCTACCTAATTGGCCCGCAAGCAGAGGAGATCTTTAACACCTTCAAGCTTGAGCCGGCGGAACAAAAGAAGTTTGAAGTCGCGCTAAACCAGTACGAGGCCTACTTCATTCCCCGACGGAACATAATTTACGAGAGGGCAAAGTTTAACACCAGAACGCAACAAGAGGGCGAGTCCGTCGAGGATTTTGTTACCGCGTTGCATACACTCTCTACTACTTGCAACTACGGAGACCTGCGTGAAGATTTAATCCGAGATCGCCTTGTTGTCGGCCTCCAAGACCACAAGGTTTCCAGGGCCCTGCAGCTCGATCCGGACCTTAACCTGCAGAAAGCCCTCCTGGTGGCACGACAGCACGAGACCGTCAATCAGCAGCAGGAGGAGCTCCACGGTCTACGGGACGAGCAAGTCAGCCTGGTACAGGGGAAGAGGAGGGCGGCAAACTTCAGAAAGAAAGCCCCTTCGAATCCAAGCGGAGGCGACTCCTCCAGGCAGTGCGGCTGGTGCGGAAAAGAGCTACACAATCGAGCATCCTGTCCGGCGAAAGAAGCGTTCTGCAGAAAGTGCGGAAAGAAAGGACACTTCGAGGCCGTGTGTCGATCATCAAGAAATGTCAGAAACGTTGATAACGTCGACGAAGAAGCAGGCTTCCTTGGAGTTGCATCTCACTCAGTTGTCTCAAAGTGGGAAATTCCAGTTCTCCTCGAGTCCTCCAACGTGATTTTCAAAACCGACACAGGGGCAGACGAAACGGTCATCCCGGAAGAGCTCTTTGTTCGGGTCTGTCCTAAAACCAAACTTCAGCCCGCAAGGCGCCGACTTCAAGGACCAGATGGGAAACCTCTCGCTATATCTGGAATGGCAACTCTGAGCATGACATTTGCAGGGAGCACCAGCCGTGAAGAAGTGTACGTTCTTCGGGGCCTCCGAACCCCTCTACTAGGAAAACCAGCAATAGAAAAACTATCCGTACTTGCACAAGTCGACAGCGTCAAAACCCTGAACCCCCTGTCAGAGTTTGCACAAGTGTTCCAGGGGCTTGGGACATTCGAAGAAGAGTATGACCTCAAGCTGAAGTCGGAAGCGAAACCTTTCGCTTTGACGTCCCCTCGGAGAGTCCCTCTGCCCTTGTTCCAGAAGACCAGGCAAGAACTGGAACGGATGCAAGCACTAGGCGTTATCTCGCCTGTCACCGGGCCGACAACATGGTGCGCACCGATGGTAGTCGTCCCAAAACCTTCAGGGGCCGTGAGAATTTGTGTAGACTTCACGGAACTCAACAGATACGTACGGCGAGAGTGGCATCCCATCCCAGCTGTGGAATACACCATCGGCATGCTGCGCGGAGCCAGCACATTTTCCAAACTGGATGCTAACTCTGGTTTCTGGCAGATACCTTTGAGCGAGAACAGCAAAGAGTACACTACGTTTATCACACCGTTTGGACGATTTTATTTTAACAGATTGCCCTTTGGCGTCTCGTCGGCCCCGGAGCATTTCCAAAGGCGCATGGGGCAAGCCCTGTCTGGAATGGAAGGGGTCGTCTGCCACATGCACGACGTGCTTATCTGGGGAGCCACACAAGCGCAGCATGACGAACGGCTTCGGGCTGTGCTAAAACGCGTCCAGACAGCTGGAATCACTCTGAACCGCGAGAAGTGCGAGTTCAATGTCACCGAGATTTCGTTCTTGGGTCACAAAATCGGATGCAACGAGGTACGTCCCGATAAACAGAAGCTCGCCGCCGTCACAGAGATGCGTCACCCGACTTCGAAGACGGAACTACGACGCATGATGGGCATGGCTACTTACCTAGCCCGCTTCGTGCCCCGCATGGCCGAAGTTCTTCAACCTCTGTTTTCTATGATAAGTTCACGACAGGAATTTGTGTGGGGCCCTGCGCAAGAAGAAGCCTTCCAGAACTGGAAGACGCTTCTTTCGTCAGATCCTGTTCTAGGAATCTACGACCCCAACCGCGAGACAGTGGTATCGGCCGATGCCTCATCGTACGGTCTCGGGGCCGTCCTCCGCCAAAAACAAGACAAAGGTCAGTTCAAAGTGATTTCGTATGCGTCAAGAACACTCACAGACACAGAGAGGCACTACGCTCAAATTGAAAAAGAAGGCCTGGCCTTGGTCTAGGCGAGTGAAAAGTTTCGGGACTACCTGCTAGGCACGCAATTCTGCCTGGAGACAGATCACAAGCCTTTGGTGTCTTTGTTCGGATCTAAAGGGATCGACGAGCTAACACCAAGATTGCAACAAATGCGCATGCGCCTGATGCGCTACACGTATGACATTGTGTATGTTCCAGGCCGGGACTTGACGGTGGCCGACACTCTTTCCCGGTCACCGCTTCAAAAAGCGGAGTCCACTGAACTGGAGGACGACGTCCAGGGCTACCTCCATTGGGTGGCGTCATCAATCCCGGTGACAGCCCCCAGCTTGCAACAGATCGCCGAGGAACAAAAACGAGACCCGGTATGTCAAGCCCTAGTCAAGCTGTGCGCAAAAGGCTGGCCAAGCCGACGGGATGTTGGGTTGAGCCTTAAATCCTACTGGGAGGAGAGGCAAAATATAGCAGTAAATAACGACGTGTTGATGTGCGGATCTAGAATGGTGATCCCGTCGACACTGCGGCAAACTGTTCTCGAAATAGTGCACGAAGGACACTTCGGGATTGAAAAGTGTCGGGGTCGGGCCAAGAGTTCAGTGTGGTGGCCGAGTATCGATGCTGACATTGAGCGTCTCGTCAAGAACTGTCATAGTTGCCTTAAGCACAGCACTAACCGAAAGATGCCTCTTCAACAGACAGAGTTCCCAGATAGGCCATGGCAGCGAATCGCGATTGACCTATTCTTTCTCGGGGGAAAATGGTGGGTGGTCATGACCGACTATTTTTCACGCTACCCGGAGCTCGCCCCGCTGAGCAGCCTATCGTCATCTGCAGTGATAAACCACTGCAAGTCCATTTTCGCCAGGCACGGGATACCGGAAGTGGTAGTGTCCGACAACGGCCCACAATTTTTGAGAGCTCTCGGTGCAGAATTGCCAAGATTCGCCAGGGAGTACAACTTTCGCCATGTCACGTCTAGCCCCCATTATCATCAGAGCAACGGGATAGCAGAATCGGCTGTCAAGATAACAAAAGGGTCCTTGAAAAAGACAGGAGACGCTTATAAAACGCTTCTCTCCTACAGAACCAGTCCACTGAAGAATGGATTCAGTCCTGCGGAGCTGCTCATGGGCCGGAGACTGCGCACGGCCCTTCCGACATCGAGCGAAAGCCTTCAGCCCCGGACGCCAGACTTACGGAAGCTGGCGGCTTTTGAAAAGACGCAGCGTTGCCGCCAGAAGAAAGACTACGACCGACGCCATGGAGTTCGGGACTTATCGGAGTTGTCCGATGGAACAGAGGTGTGGATCATAGACCTCCAAAGAAAAGGCATCGTTCAGGGGCGCCCTGCGGAGCCAAGGTCGTATTGGGTCGAAACCGATGAGAGTTCTGTGCGAAGAAACCGGACGCATCTAATCCCACTGCCCGCGACGACTTCCGAAAACCGTTCAGAAACAGTGCAAGTTGCCCCGGAGTCGGCGGAAACATCCAGTGATCAGAGGACTGTAGCACCACAGTGCAACGACACGAGTCACACTCACACGCGAAGTGGAAGATGTGTGGTTCCTCCAGCACGGTTCCAAGCGTCGTGACCCAACAGTTTGCGCCTGGAAACGTCGAGAAAAAAAAAGAAAAAAGAAAAAAAGGGGGAGATGTGTGATAAGACGCTTCTCGTCAGCTCGGGCTCGGCACGTGGGTTGAGTCAGCAGTTACAACCCCGCGACGGCGCTATCAGCTGTGGCGATATAAGCCGCTGTTTCGAGTGAATAAACTTCTTCTTGTTGTTCGCTGTTGAACTTCGCGTACGCTCGTCTCTGCTGCTCGCTCGAACATAGCGAACAGTTTTATCTGCACACAGGACGATAAAGTTAGAAACGATGTCGGCGTGCACCGCTGCCGAACTGGATGAGTTGGGCCTTCGAAGTTCGCCTTTGTAGGTTGATGTGGCTGCAGACGGCGCTGATGTCAAAGACTTTGATTGGTCCTGATGCGACGCACGGCGAAGGACGAAATCGCTCCCGCTTGATGACAAAGGCCCGTCCGATCCGTTGCGTGCGTGGGAAACTTGAGGTTTTATCTGCACACAGGACGATAAAGTTAGAAACGATGTCGGCGTGCACCGCTGCCGAACTGGATGAGTTGGGCCTTCGAAGTTCGCCTTTGTAGGTTGATGTGGCTGCAGACGGCGCTGATGTCAAAGACTTTGATTGGTCCCGATGTGTCGCACGGCGAAGGACGAAATCGCTCCCGCTCGATGACAAAGGCCCGTCCGATCCGTTGCGTGCGTGGGAAACTTGAGGTTTTATCTGCACACAGGACGATAAAGTTAGAAACGATGTCGGCGTGCACCGCTGCCGAACTGGATGAGTTGGGCCTTCGAAGTTCGCCTTTGTAGGTTGATGTGGCTGCAGACGGCGCTGATGTCAAAGACTTTGATTGGTCCTGATGCGACGCACGGCGAAGGACGAAATCGCTCCCGCTCGATGACAAAGGCCCGTCCGATCCGTTGCGTGCGTGGGAAACTTGAGGTTTTATCTGCACACAGGACGATAAAGTTAGAAACGATGTCGGCGTGCACCGCTGCCGAACTGGATGAGTTGGGCCTTCGAAGTTCGCCTTTGTAGGTTGATGTGGCTGCAGACGGCGCTGATGTCAAAGACTTTGATTGGTCCTGATGCGACGCACGGCGAAGGACGAAATCGCTCCCGCTCGATGACAAAGGCCCGTCCGATCCGTTGCGTGCGTGGGAAACTTGAGGTTTTATCTGCACACAGGACGATAAAGTTAGAAACGATGTCGGCGTGCACCGCTGCCGAACTGGATGAGTTGGGCCTTCGAAGTTCGCCTTTGTAGGTTGATGTGGCTGCAGACGGCGCTGATGTCAAAGACTTTGATTGGTCCTGATGCGACGCACGGCGAAGGACGAAATCGCTCCCGCTCGATGACAAAGGCCCGTCCGATCCGTTGCGTGCGTGGGAAACTTGAGGTTTTATCTGCACACAGGACGATAAAGTTAGAAACGATGTCGGCGTGCACCGCTGCCGAACTGGATGAGTTGGGCCTTCGAAGTTCGCCTTTGTAGGTTGATGTGGCTGCAGACGGCGCTGATGTCAAAGACTTTGATTGGTCCTGATGCGACGCACGGCGAAGGACGAAATCGCTCCCGCTCGATGACAAAGGCCCGTCCGATCCGTTGCGTGCGTGGGAAACTTGAGGTTTTATCTGCACACAGGACGATAAAGTTAGAAACGATGTCGGCGTGCACCGCTGCCGAACTGGATGAGTTGGGCCTTCGAAGTTCGCCTTTGTAGGTTGATGTGGCTGCAGACGGCGCTGATGTCAAAGACTTTGATTGGTCCTGATGCGACGCACGGCGAAGGACGAAATCGCTCCCGCTCGATGACAAAGGCCCGTCCGATCCGTTGCGTGCGTGGGAAACTTGAGGTTTTATCTGCACACAGGACGATAAAGTTAGAAACGATGTCGGCGTGCACCGCTGCCGAACTGGATGAGTTGGGCCTTCGAAGTTCGCCTTTGTAGGTTGATGTGGCTGCAGACGGCGCTGATGTCAAAGACTTTGATTGGTCCTGATGCGACGCACGGCGAAGGACGAAATCGCTCCCGCTCGATGACAAAGGCCCGTCCGATCCGTTGCGTGCGTGGGAAACTTGAGGTTTTATCTGCACACAGGACGATAAAGTTAGAAACGATGTCGGCGTGCACCGCTGCCGAACTGGATGAGTTGGGCCTTCGAAGTTCGCCTTTGTAGGTTGATGTGGCTGCAGACGGCGCTGATGTCAAAGACTTTGATTGGTCCTGATGCGACGCACGGCGAAGGACGAAATCGCTCCCGCTCGATGACAAAGGCCCGTCCGATCCGTTGCGTGCGTGGGAAACTTGAGGTTTTATCTGCACACAGGACGATAAAGTTAGAAACGATGTCGGCGTGCACCGCTGCCGAACTGGATGAGTTGGGCCTTCGAAGTTCGCCTTTGTAGGTTGATGTGGCTGCAGACGGCGCTGATGTCAAAGACTTTGATTGGTCCTGATGCGACGCACGGCGAAGGACGAAATCGCTCCCGCTCGATGACAAAGGCCCGTCCGATCCGTTGCGTGCGTGGGAAACTTGAGGTTTTATCTGCACACAGGACGATAAAGTTAGAAACGATGTCGGCGTGCACCGCTGCCGAACTGGATGAGCTGGGCCTTCGAAGTTCGCCTTTGTAGGTTGATGTGGCTGCAGACGGCGCTGATGTCAAAGACTTTGATTGGTCCCGATGTGTCGCACGGCGAAGGACGAAATCACTCCCGCTCGATGACAAAGGCCCGTCCGATCCGTTGCGTGCGTGGGAAACTTGAGGTTTTATCTGCACACAGGACGATAAAGTTAGAAACGATGTCGGCGTGCACCGCTGCCGAACTGGATGAGTTGGGCCTTCGAAGTTCGCCTTTGTAGGTTGATGTGGCTGCAGACGGCGCTGATGTCAAAGACTTTGATTGGTCCCGATGTGTCGCACGGCGAAGGACGAAATCGCTCCCGCTCGATGACAAAGGCCCGTCCGATCCGTTGCGTGCGTGGGAAACTTGAGGTTTTATCTGCACACAGGACGATAAAGTTAGAAACGATGTCGGCGTGCACCGCTGCCGAACTGGATGAGTTGGGCCTTCGAAGTTCGCCTTTGTAGGTTGATGTGGCTGCAGACGGCGCTGATGTCAAAGACTTTGATTGGTCCTGATGCGACGCACGGCGAAGGACGAAATCGCTCCCGCTCGATGACAAAGGCCCGTCCGATCCGTTGCGTGCGTGGGAAACTTGAGGTTTTATCTGCACACAGGACGATAAAGTTAGAAACGATGTCGGCGTGCACCGCTGCCGAACTGGATGAGTTGGGCCTTCGAAGTTCGCCTTTGTAGGTTGATGTGGCTGCAGACGGCGCTGATGTCAAAGACTTTGATTGGTCCCGATGTGTCGCACGGCGAAGGACGAAATCGCTCCCGCTCGATGACAAAGGCCCGTCCGATCCGTTGCGTGCGTGGGAAACTTGAGGTTTTATCTGCACACAGGACGATAAAGTTAGAAACGATGTCGGCGTGCACCGCTGCCGAACTGGATGAGTTGGGCCTTCGAAGTTCGCCTTTGTAGGTTGATGTGGCTGCAGACGGCGCTGATGTCAGACTTTGATTGGTCCTGATGTGTCGCACGGCGAAGGACGAAATCGCTCCCGCTCGATGACAAAGGCCCGTCCGATCCGTTGCGTGCGTGGGAAACTTGAGGTTTTATCTGCACACAGGAAGATAAAGTTAGAAACGATGTCGGCGTGCACCGCTGCCGAACTGGATGAGCTGGGCCTTCGAAGTTCGCCTTTGTAGGTTGATGTGGCTGCAGACGGCGCTGATGTCAAAGACTTTGATTGGTCCCGATGTGTCGCACGGCGAAGGACGAAATCGCTCCCGCTCGATGACAAAGGCCCGTCCGATCCGTTGCGTGCGTGGGAAACTTGAGGTTTTATCTGCACACAGGACGATAAAGTTAGAAACGATGTCGGCGTGCACCGCTGCCGAACTGGATGAGTTGGGCCTTCGAAGTTCGCCTTTGTAGGTTGATGTGGCTGCAGACGGCGCTGATGTCAAAGACTTTGATTGGTCCTGATGCGACGCACGGCGAAGGACGAAATCGCTCCCGCTCGATGACAAAGGCCCGTCCGATCCGTTGCGTGCGTGGGAAACTTGAGGTTTTATCTGCACACAGGACGATAAAGTTAGAAACGATGTCGGCGTGCACCGCTGCCGAACTGGATGAGTTGGGCCTTCGAAGTTCGCCTTTGTAGGTTGATGTGGCTGCAGACGGCGCTGATGTCAAAGACTTTGATTGGTCCTGATGCGACGCACGGCGAAGGACGAAATCGCTCCCGCTCGATGACAAAGGCCCGTCCGATCCGTTGCGTGCGTGGGAAACTTGAGGTTTTATCTGCACACAGGACGATAAAGTTAGAAACGATGTCGGCGTGCACCGCTGCCGAACTGGATGAGTTGGGCCTTCGAAGTTCGCCTTTGTAGGTTGATGTGGCTGCAGACGGCGCTGATGTCAAAGACTTTGATTGGTCCTGATGCGACGCACGGCGAAGGACGAAATCGCTCCCGCTCGATGACAAAGGCCCGTCCGATCCGTTGCGTGCGTGGGAAACTTGAGGTTTTATCTGCACACAGGACGATAAAGTTAGAAACGATGTCGGCGTGCACCGCTGCCGAACTGGATGAGTTGGGCCTTCGAAGTTCGCCTTTGTAGGTTGATGGGGCTGCAGACGGCGCTGATGTCAAAGACTTTGATTGGTCCTGATGCGACGCACGGCGAAGGACGAAATCGCTCCCGCTCGATGACAAAGGCCCGTCCGATCCGTTGCGTGCGTGGGAAACTTGAGGTTTTATCTGCACACAGGACGATAAAGTTAGAAACGATGTCGGCGTGCACCGCTGCCGAACTGGATGAGTTGGGCCTTCGAAGTTCGCCTTTGTAGGTTGATGTGGCTGCAGACGGCGCTGATGTCAAAGACTTTGATTGGTCCTGATGCGACGCACGGCGAAGGACGAAATCGCTCCCGCTCGATGACAAAGGCC